TCAGCTAAGGTAGTGAAGCTGGTATGAGTGTAGTAAGGTCATCCCAGGAAGGCTGGCTCCAGGGACCTAGAACTTAGTTTGTTTGTTTGTTTGTTTGTTTGTTTGTTTGTTTTTTCAGGGACCTAGAACTTAAATACTGTGCATGCCTCACTGGGAGGTTGAGGGGGTGTGATAAGCTGGGTGTGTAGACAAATAGATGGGCTTTCTTTGGAGCAAGACTGTTAGGAGCAGAGCAGCGAGAAGGGTGCAGGAGCTGATGGGGGTGTGGTGGCAGAGTCCCCACTTGGTTTTGCACACTACAAGAAGGGTTCTGGTGGCCATTGGATTGGCTCGCTCCTCACTGCTCCCTGGCCTATCACCTTCTTCGACCTCAGATGATGGTCTCACAGGGGCCTCAACCCTATAGAAGTGGAAGAGGAAGCATTGTGGGGAGGGTCAGATTAGGGGACTTCACTGCTGTGTTTGCTGTGGTGACCAGCCCTTCCCCCAAGTTTGGTTTCCCTCTGTATCGGGCCCCACTGGCTTCATGAGGAGCTTGCCTCAGCAGAGTCTCCAGTTTACCTAATAAACCAAACATGCCTGGGCTGCTGTCTAGGTTTGGGCTGTGAACAGATGCTTCGTACCTTCATACCTGGGACTCTTCTGTAGTTCTCAGAACTGATAGTTTGCACTCTCTTCCACACTTCAGTGACTCCAAGACCCATTTTTTTCTGTGCATTTGTGAGTTTTCTAGAACTCCTGGGAGAAATGGGCCATTTATCTCCTAGGTGGAACTCTGGTTGCTGTGTTATGTGTGAGCCAGTTACTGTGCACTTTTCCTCAAGCTGATTTCCATTTAGTGTATATTATCCAGAAATTCTCAAAATTCTGGCATGCCAATAGCACTCTTCTTTATTTCCCAGCTCTTCTACAAACTGAACAGATTCTTAACATTTCATTTTAGTGGCCGCAGAGTACATGATAGGGAAGCTCTATTTTAGATCAGTACTGTCCAATTCAGTAGCAATTAGCTACATGTTGCTATTGATTACCTGAACTTGGCTAGTTAAAATTGAAATGTGCTGTGTGTATAAAATACACACTGGATTTAGAGGGAAATAGATGTATGATACATTACTTTTTAAAATATTGATTGTATATTGAAATTAGGTATCTTCTATATATATTACCTCTGTAAAATGTTATTTAAGATAAATTTCATCTGTTTCTATTTGCCTTTTTAAATGTGGTTATTGAAAATTAAAATTACATATGTGACCCACATTTGTGGCTTGCATTTTATTTGCTAGTGGACAGCGATACCTTAGATTAATCAATATGCTTTATTTTGATTGCCCCCAAATTTTGATAGTTTAAATGTTTTACCAATATGTGTAATGTTGACTGTTGATAAGATAGATCCCTTTCTTATGTATTTCAGGAAATTCTCAGAAAGATGCCCCAAGTGGGGCCTGAGACGCTGTGTTTCCTTCTGCAGTAAATTATGTAGCTTTCTATTGAATTTTAGGTTCTGGAATGCCTTATGTAGAGCCTGGAAATTATTTGTTCCTTGAAAATCTGAAAAATCTAGAACGCTTCCTGGCTGAAGGGTTTTATAAAAAATTGCAATATAATTTACATATAGCACACAAATTTAAGTGCACAGCTCACTGAGTTTTACATCCATGTAAGCACTGCACAGATCAAGATATAGGGCATTTTTTACATCCATGTAAGCACTGCACAGATCAAGATATAGGGCATTTACATTACCACAGAAATTTCCCTCATGCCTCTCCTAGTCAATATTCACAAGTATCGAGAGGTAACCTCTATCTTGGTTTCTTCACCATAGATTAGATTTGCCAGCTCATGAACTGGATTCTTTTACTCAACATACATATTTTTGAGATTTTATCCATGTTGTTGTTGGAAACATTACAGTTCATTATTTTTCATTGCTATGTAGTATGTCATTGAAATAAATACACCACAACTTGCTTTATCCAATCTCCTGCTGCTGGACGTTTGGGTTGTTTGGTTTTACCCATTATGACTGAAGCTACTGTTGGAAATTCTATTATACACATTTTGAAGGACATTTGTTTTCATTTATTTTGGATATTTCAGGAGTGAAATTCCTTAATCATAGTGTAGGTGAATATTAAATTTTAAGAAACTACAAACAGTTTTTTTTGTATTCTTATCTGTGATGTATGAGTGTTAATTGCTCCACACACTTGCTGACATTTGATATTGTCATTCTTTTTCATTTTAGCCATTCTGGTGGGTATGTATTAGTATCCTAAGATTTTAATTTGCATTTTCCTGATGAACAAAAATGTTAGGTGCATTTTCATATGCTTAATGTTGGCCTAAGGACTCTTTTTTTTAAAATATTTTTATTGGGGTATTGGGGGCATGGGAACAGTGCTGGGGAATTGGGGGAAGGGGAACAGACAAGTTGCTGTTGTTTTATTCTTCAGTCTAGTTGTGGAGGACATTGCTTCACTGGCCCAAGATGGCACCATCATTATGCTCTTCCCGGGCGAGGCAGATCAGTCGCCAGCTTCTGG